ACTCTCTCTACAAAAGACGAACTATGAAAAAGTTGTCTAATTCTCCACCAAAACTGCTCATAAAAAGCCCTGCTACCCCATCGTCCACAAAAAACTCGTTTAAAAAGTATAAAAGTGAAAAAGTCAAAGAATGATCATTAATGACGAGTCCTGTCAAACGAGCAAACGAGAAACGGAGCAAAAAACGTCAAACTAGTCACTAGAAATGGCGTACTATGACAACACCTCTTCTTTGTTTATTTCCTCCACAAGACTTACCAAATTCTAGTACTACACAGATTATGGTTCTCAATTTACACGTCCCCTTTCGCTCAAAGGAAGCCTTGTAAAAGCCTTCGCCAGCTGTGTGTTGACTGGACTTTGGCGTTGACCGTGGAGCAGCTTATTTACTATTGAAATTTGAACAAATATTCAAATGATTATAACTTTCTTCAAAGTTAACGAATTTTCAATCTGAAAGCTGATTTGGGAGTTTTGTGAAGAGCTTTTTCTAATCATTACTCTACCCGCCCGCCACATCGTAGCTTGGCAACCCAGCAGCATGTCCATTTATGAACTCGAATAAACTACGTTCAATTGAACACCCATATCATGAAAAGGCGCCTGAGGCGACAAGGTCACCTGCCGAAAAAGCATCCTTCAGTCACCTCAAAGAATTCTAACCGATAAAAAACGGCGGCACATCTCAAAGTGAGCAATTCTTATCGACTACTCGACTGAGAAACTCAAAAATTCAACCGCATTATGGAAAAAATCAACTAATTTACAGTCAAGAAAAAAAAAACAACTCACAAATACGCACAGAGACCACGCCTAGAAAGGTCGGTGCTCCTCAATGGTGCAGTTTCGTCGCTGCTTGTCACAATTTCGCCAGCTCACAGTCAGCCAATAAGGTTCCTAGATGAAACTCTTGCACTAAACCTCAACGCCGGCTCCGGTCACCTCGTACTCTGATAATACCAGTACTTGATGTTGCCCGAACACCTTTTTATACTACTGTACGCCGTAATTCAATCAAAATTTATCTTTAACTCGAAACAACTATAAAATTAATCCAAGCGGAAACGATGATCAGTTTTAATGAGAACTGTTGTAAATATATATGTGACGCTGTTAGTCACCACTTCGTACGTTAACTGGGCATACAAACATTCACTTAGTAACGCTGCTGGAGCTTACAACTTATTGAAACCGTATAGCGCGGATGGAAATCTATGTAATATGACGCAGCAATGAACAAATAAAAATTGTTTTTAACACCGACGCCTAATGGATCTAACATCACGATCATAATATCGGATCGTGCCCCACCAATAACAAATACAACGAACAAAAAACGACACAATAATCAATAAACAAGCATTGAAACGAATATTAACGAGATGACTACCAAATTATACGAATAGCGGAATTCAAAGCTGATAACACATCGGTTCGAGGTTGAAGTATGGAACAAGAAACAGTGAAAATAAATTTAACAAACCGATTACAACATCACATCTCACGCCACGACATCCTTTCGACGCCTTTCGCGCTCTTGCTGGGTTGGAGGAGGAGGCGTTCCCTTACGGTGCAGTACCTCTATGTACTCGTCCAAAATGCGATCGCGTTCCGATGCGTGATTCTCCGACATGCGCATCCATCTCTTATCGTTCTAAAGAGGCTTTTCATACTCAAAGTAAAAGTGCTCGACAAAAAGAGAGGAAACAAACAAACCTCAAGAACTGCGAGAATATCTTTCAAATGTTGTTCATTCTCTTCAATCATGCGTTTACTCTTGTAGGTGATGATTTTCGTTTCTTTGAGAAGATCCTTGAATTCACGCACTGCATTGTCATGCCGCATCTCCTGCCAGTCTCTGTAGTCACGCTCCACTTTCTGTAAAAAGATAGCTTACATGAGGAAAGCAGAAAAGCTAGCATAATCCCGAAGCGATACTTTCTTTGGATTTTGACC